TTTCTGTGTCATGTTAAGGCCAAGATCAATGGATTGATAAGTGATATCTATTCGGCTTTAGAAATATTTGGCTTCGAACCCTAGTTTCGTTCCGAGTCATTTTCCAGGTCATTTCCGAGCATAGCCGAGCCTTGGTATCTTGATACTTAGAATATTTTCTAAGTGTATTGAAGTATCTAAGTTCAAGTCTTGGACCCTCATTCTCGAGCCTAGCATCTACCCGAGCCGCTCGTGCCGAGCCTCGCGCCCGCGCCTCATGCCGCGCCCGAGCCATGCCTAAGTCATACCCATGCCTTGGTATAATTTTTCTAAGTGTTGTGATGTGTTAAGTCAAGCCCTAGAACCCAAGTCACTCGGCCCTAGCATTTACCCGAGCCGCTCGCGCCCAAGGGTCCCGAGCCAAGCCTAAGACATAGCCGAGTCATGTCCTATGCTTTGTTGAGTATTGGGCATGTCCTTAGATATATTATAAGTGTTCAAGCATCAAAATTCAGCCTTGGTCAAGGTATCACGTGAGCAGCCCGAGCAGACCCCGTGCAGCCCAAACCTCGCGCCCAGCTTGCGCCCTGGCCCAGTGCCACGTGCAGCCCAGGTCCAGCGCTGGCAGCGCACAGGTCCACTTTTAAGCCCAATTCTTGAAGTTTCAGCCCATTTTCCTCAAGACCCAAGAGCTGCGTGTGTTAAGGATTTAATGAGGATTAATTCAAGGTAAGATGGCCCTAAGTAATGTTTAAGAAAGTCAACTTAGCATGGGTGCAAAATGGGTGCATGTACATAGTATTATTTTATTCCATAGTGAAGTCTTTGTTCCCTTGTCTTGGACCAGACCTGACCAACGACCAGAGCACTTGTTCCCTGCTCATTATACTCTGGAAATTCATCAAGATGCCCTCCAAAACCGTGCAAAGTCAAGTCCCAAGACCAGCTCTAAGTTCCATGCACCTAAGTGGAGGAATCCCACTCTTTATGGTCTTCTTTGACCAAGCATAGCAACCTCCGCCCTCCCAGCTATATAAGGCTTGTTCCTCAGCTATGTTGAACTCATTTGACACTTAAAAGCTCGAGCAACACTTAGAGAAATCAGATAAAAAACGAAGAGAGCACCACAGCCCCTTACCGCATGCGCGGTAAAAAGGCACCAGCCGTGCCTAAGCCGTGTGCACGGCACCCAGCAGAGCCGTGCCAAGCCCCAGCGCACGAGGCCTCGCTCCAGAGCCTCGTGCCTTGCCCAGGACGACCCGAGCAGGGTCTGTCAAGTCTAACCCGCCCCGCGTCCAGACGCACGACCCCGCGCACCAGTTGGCCCCGGGACGTGCCCAACAGCACGCCCGAGTGCCCAGACCCTCAGGAACGCCCGGCAGCGACCCGGTAGCCTCAGTTCACGTCTGTCCCGAGCCGACCTAAGTCCAGCCGTGCCTAGCACACGTCCGCAGCACCCAGTGAGCCTCGGTCGTGCGCCCGACCGCCCAGTTCAGCCAGAGCCGGCGGCCCGGCCGGTTCAACTGATAGTTCGAGCCTAGATTTTTGGGTCGTGGGTTCTGATCCGAGTTTTATTCCGGACTTTAAGTATCTTTCCGAGCCAAACCCACCAGTTTAAGTATGCCAGTTATAAATCCGGACTTTTTTTTTTAAGCGAACCCTTAGCACAGTCTATTTCATCTGGTAAATGAGCATATAGAACCGAGAATCTTAGCATATAATTAAATATTCTGAGCATAATACTTAGCATTATTCTGCTTATATGTTTATGTAGCCTAAGGAGAGTCGAGCCTCCGTCCGCTACTTCAGTTTCAAGCACTTGCGTCAGATTTGCAGTATACCAGGTGGGAGCCTTTACAGGGCATTACGTTGCGCATTTCATTTATCCTGTATAAGGTACGTGAGTAGGTAATTACCCAAACGGTTGAATTATCCCGTTTGTGGTCCAGTTAGTTCTCCCAGGATTTGGAGGCCGAGGGCCTTAATATTCCACCTGGTACCCGATGGAGGCCGAGGGCCTTAATATTCCAATTGGGGTGTGCACACGAGCGGCTGAGGGCCGAGGGTCTTTTGACCACAGTTATAGAAAATAAAGGAAAAGAAAGTTTATAGTTTTACCTCTTATATATTGAAGCCATGATATAGTGGATTATTGATGCTGTCTTATTCAGTACTGGTCTTGCGGAGATGTGGGGGTCATGTACTGGATTCCACATCATCTCTAATTACCTTACCATGACTGAGGTATGTTCGAGACAGTTAGTTCTCCCAGGATTTGAAGGCCGAGGACCTTAATATTCCACCTGGTACCCGATGGAGGCCGAGGGCCTTAATATTCCAATCGGGATGTGCACACGAGCGACCAAGGCCGAGCAAGGGTCTTATGACCAAAGTTAAAGTTTAAGAAAAGTTTACAGTACACTACGGCTTATTTATTTTATGCTGCTTTTTAAGTTATTGTTTACAGTTAAGATTATTTCAGTTCCAGTATCCCACGAGCATGTCGATGTGCTCACACTCCCATAGTCTTCTCTATTTCAGGTGACGGAGTCCAGCGTGCCGGGTGAGCAAACGTAGCAAGTGTGGTCATGAGCAGTGGACATTTTTATACACATCTTATGTTTCAAAATTCATGAACATGTAATAATTTGTAATATGTATGTGTGTATTATGTATTATTCAGTTAAGCTTCCGCTAAACTAGAAAGTGCGAGATAGTCGAACCTGCATTTGTGATTCCATTATTTCCACAGTGGATTGATTTAGTTGCATGTTTTATTAAGTAAGATAAGAAAATTTTCGTAGCATCCCGCAAGTAAAAAAGTATTTTTGAAACCCAGCTCGCACGATATTTCGAAAATAAAAGCGAAAATTTAACTCTGATTTTCAAAGCTAGTAAGGCGGGGTGTTACATACCGACTTTATGTGTTGATCAAAGAACACATCAGTCGTCGTGTACCTAATCTCATCACTAGTACCATACAACCCAAGATTGTGTAGGTAGTAGAACAAGACATCCATATGTTGTACGTGTAAAAAAAAATGATCAATATATATAAATATATATATATATATATATATATTACCATATTGTACAAACGACATAATCAATAAGTATATTCCCAAAAAATAAAGAATATATAGGATTAAACTTACGCTGCTATCAAGGAAGCATCCTGACTCGTAGAAGGTGTAAAACCAATTTTTATCACTTACAACGACAACATTAAAATCAAATGGTGGGTTTTTTTTTTCTGCCAAAATGATAGGTAATATTATAAATCAAAATGCACAAATGTGCGTATACACAGCAGCACCTAGCTGAATACATAGCAGCCAACAGCTGAAAAAGTGAGTAGACAGGTCAGAAGACCACCTAGAATCCCGGGTAGCAAAGCTAAATTAAAAAAACACTCGCAACTACACTGACCAACTACACCAACAACAACGAAAAACTACTAAACAAAAGATTCCACCAGGATAATACCTGAGTGTCCGATCCCAACAGGATAAGAAGATGACACTCGGGCACACAAAGGCCAAATGGCCCAGACCAAAAACACAGACCTAATCAATACAAGCATAAGCACAAAGAGAACAAACTAAGACATACGGAGCTAATCTACCAACAAACAAAGCCCTTCCCCAGCGGGTAAGCAAAACCCAGCACAAGGCACCAGCGAAATAAGGACTATCCATCCTACAGCTTGACCCGAAATCTGGAACGCCACTCCCGCCACCGCCTAATGCCTAGCAAAGGACGAGTCCTGAACCTCGAACCACTCCAAGGAGGAAGTCGACCCACAGCCAGAGGAGTATCAACCAGCCCCCCACACACCAGCTACCCGGAACTCGGCCAACACCACTGGCCTAGATTCAGGCGTGCCGGCATAGGGACCCAGGAGCGAGAATAGATCCACCTCAGCCCCGGCCGCCGCGACTCAGATGATTCGAGCATCCAGAGGCCCTCCCAACACCCTAACCACACAACATCCTTTAGCAATCAGACCCAAAACGGGGGAGAAGCCATCAAAACCGCCGTCGACCACCAAACTGAGATAGAGTCGACAAAAGGACACCGGGAAACCACCGTCAGAGCCAAGAATCGAACCATCAGAAGTGGAGCCGATGCACCCGCCATCGACAGCCGTACAGGAATGGAATCGACTAAAGAACTCCAGGAATCGACCTTCGAAGCCGACAAAATCTCAAACGGCGATCTCCTCGAAAAGAGCACCAGCCGACGTACCTTTCTCTCCCCCGAACAGCTCGAACCGCAAAGAAAAACACAAAATTGGGGCATGGGAGAGCAGCTGGGGGTCATCCGCCGGCTAGAGGCCGGATTTTCGCCAGGGAAGGCGAGAAAGATGAACCAGCGACGGGAAGGAGAGTATTGGCGATTTGGAGAATAAGGGTTTCATTTTCTCTTTCCACACAAAATGGTGGGTTCAATTTTCTGTGTTTTTTTTTTTTTTTTNGATTAAAAAGATGTGCGGGAATATTTGTAAATCTTATTGTAACTGACATCAACCACCAATAATAGAATATAATATTTTATTATGTAGTAGGAATATAAAACTTAGTATAAAACAAATATGAACATACTGTACATGTACTGTGACTATATTGTGTATATATTGTCAATATACTATGCAAATACTGTAAAGAAAATGTGAATTTATTTTGTATGACACTTTTTATATGTCTGTTTGGAAATAATTTGAACATAATACAATCATATTCTATTGTTGTTGGGAAATATATTCTAAATTTAACCAAATATGGTAATAAAAAAAATGATTATGATTACTAAGAAATTACAATATAAACATTATAAATTTATGATTATTTTTTGTACCCGTCATTTAACTTGCGACCTCTCTTGAGCATACCAATCATATACCACTTCATAAAATCGCCTGCGTTTATCTTTCGAGAAGATCTATTCCAAAAATCAACATCAAAGGACATGACTTCGAAAGCCGTTTTCCTTTCCTCACACGGTGGTGTCTCCTGACAACTTTATTTTATCTCCGCAGACTCCAATATCGTGGTGTTTGGGTCTGGTACCACTACCATGTCATAGCATGGAGGCTGCGCAACGTTCGTCTTTCCTATTTCTCCGGTGGACATCTCGTGCACAGCGTCCATTGGGATATCCTGAAATAAAAAAGAATTTTGATAATATATATGCTGTAGAGAATTTGTTGTGTAATATAAGATCAATGGAAAATAGAATAGAGTATGACCACTGGATGGTCTTGTGGTACTTTGTTGTCCACTTTCAATGGTTGTGTGGGTGGGAGATCTTCAATTTTATATAAAAGGATGGCTGAGAACCATTCAATGCGTTGCCAACATCTATCACCTTTTGGACATCAACTTTCAGGGTTGCAATAATCTAAATAATTAAGAATTAAAAAAATAATCATTATAAGTATATATATACTAAATTGCAATGATGGTATAACTAGTATTACTATAGTGACAATAAATTATCATTACCGGTTCATTCCCCTTCGATGTATTCTTCAATTTTTCTACCGTACTTCTATCAACTTCCTCAAGGAATTGTGTTATGATTGGAGAAAATGGATCCAAATCATCAAACGTAGTGCTAACTGGTGGAGAAGGCTCACGAATCTGCTTGAAAGATTGAATATATAATTTGATGAGAGATTCCAAATAAAATTTTATATATATAATATATATACAATATAAATTCATCATATTATTTTCAATCCTTAAAGACACGATCAGCGGCACGCTTCATCATAGCTTCGGATTTTGTTCTTGTTGCTGATACAGGCGGCTCGCGAAAATCCTGATTACAAATGACAATGAAAGATAACGTATAGGGCTTCTACATTTGATATTTATTGTACAACTGTATTTTGCAAAAAACAAAAGAAAAAAAATTATTGTATGAAACTGAACAACTGTATTATGCAACAGAGGGGTAACCTGTCCTAGTTGATTGAGAACAACATCCGACGTCTTCTGATAATCCTCCTGTTTTTCCATAAATATAATATTCAATATATATGCCTGAAGGGATAATTGTATATAGGGTTAATTGCTATTTAAACCTTCGCCTTTTAGCTTTTGGCAATTTAATCCAAACCTTTGGATAATTGCAATATAATCCTAACTTTGACTTAATTTTGCAAAACGAACTTAATTTTCGTCGGAGGTTCAAAAAATGTCAACGTGTCAGGCAGAATATATCCACGTTGGAAATCAGTTTGCTGAGTGGCGAATTTTTATGACTGAAAACTTATGTGGCTATGACATGGCTCATATGTGGAATTAACAAGTTAGGAATAAAAAAATAAAAAAAATCCACCTCAATTAAAATTCTGAAAATGCCCTAGATTAAACCAATCAACAAATTAGAACTTATAAAAATGTTCCCCAGATTAAATCATACACTTATCATAATCATCAATTTAATAAACAAAATACAACAAAAAAAATATAAAAAAAGGCAAAAAAGAACTCCACCTCCCAAAACCTTCACGACAGTCCAGTTGACCTTCCCCCGCCAAAAGCTTCTCCTCGCCGGTGCTGCAAGGGTGGGAGATTCCAGAGCGACCATTCTTACCTACTGCACCACTAAATTCGCCGTCGGTCGGGCGTTCGTCCCCAGCCCCATCCCTTTCTGTTTGGATTGCAATCCCAGTGACCTCAACGCCATTTGTGTATGACGTCATACTGTTCGAACCCTATCCCAACCAAAAACTCAACCTTTGGTATCAACGAATTGGGACGAATCAGCCCAATTCGACCAGAAACTCCAATGTGGGCCTCAATCGGGACTTTAGGCCCGAACTGAGTATTCTAGGTCCCTGAATTATGAATTTTCGAGCTTCATAGGAAATTGAATATTCGGTAAACGCCTCTGTAGGGGTCGACGATAAAGAGCTGAGGTTACATATCGAGAATCCGACAGGTGGCAGCGAGGTTGATTCCCATCAAAGAGAGGCATTGCGTGATGGTGGAGATTGGCGTTGAATTGAAATTAGGGTTTATGTAGAGTGTTTTAGTGGGGTTAGATTTGATGGATTCGAGGTAAAGAAGCTTTTCCCAGCATTTGACATCGGAGTCACTGGTGGTGGCCGGAATATTGGCGGCATGATTGTCATTAAGGTGGAGATGTAGGATTCTAAGGATTTGGGAATTTTTTTATCAGGTTTTTTTTTTTTTTTTTTTTTTTTTCTAATTATCAGGTTTAATTTTGGGGATGATTGTACAATTAAATCTTAAATTTTCCAAATTCCACATATTTTATGTGTTGCCACTCAGCAAACTGAAAATCCAATGTGGATATAAGCAATCGGACACGCTGGCATTTTTTGAACGTCCGACGAAAATTAAGTTCGTTTTGCAAAAGTAAGTCAAAGTTAGGATTATATTGCAATTATCCAAAAGTTTGGATTAAATTGCCAAAAGCTGATAGGTAAAGGTTTAAATAGCAATTAACCCTTGTATATATAATAACAATAAGTATAAAACTTATACAATATAATTATATATATGTGATAAAAATAAGTCTTAAACTTATACAATCGTACAGAGCAAAATTATTACACCAACCGTATGTTTTCGTGAATCGGTATGAGAGTCTTTCTCCGTTTGATGAGTTCCAATATCAATATCATCAGATGCTTCATCAGAGGCTTTTTCATCTTTATTTTGATAAACCTAATGTAATAAATGAATAACAAACAATTATGATAACTTACAACACACAACATATACAAAACACATATTTAATATGTTTGAGGAACTCTGATTTTTAACCTAAGAAGTTACTTAACAAAATGTAAAACATATGATAACAGTATATGTATATATAAATATAATATTAACATGAACATACTCAGTTTGATACTTTGATACATAATTGGGAGATCATAAACTTGACATAAAACATAATATTTACGTTATTGAGTCAAATTGATATTTGATATACAATTAATTACTTAATTTGATAATAAAAAATGAATATGGCAACTTCGTCAAACACAACATTTGAAAAGTTAATGGACACGTATTATAAAATTACACTGAAAAAAGTATCATAAACTGAATATAAACATACTAATGAACAAACATATACTTACGTTGATTTTTCTTTGAATAGTGCAAATTCTGCGAACACTCGTTTGGAAAAGTCGATTAACATCTGTTTCAGACTTTCAACCTCAGTGGTAAGTGTGTCTAGACGTTTGATGACGTCTGATTCATTGGTATGCTGTGGGGGGTCGGTTGTCGGTATTTCAGTACGATGAAATTCATTTTTGATCTTTAAAAAATCATTGATGAACAACGTTTGTTCCTTTTCCTCGGTGGGTATCAAGTTCTTGAACTGAGAAATAAAAAAATTAAAGAATTTAAATAATGTTGTTATATTAATGAATACAAGTATATATTTATATATTGGGGAACTAAGTACGTTAAGAGTTAAATATTACCTTGCTAGAATCCAAATTTAAAAATATCCTTTGCATAAAGAGACGATAGTAGTTGCCACGGACTTCCCAGTTAAACATTCTTGGTATGTCGTTTACGCCAATGCATGTGCAAATGACACCCTCTGCGGTGTTGCAAAACTAGTAGAACCAAATTTAGAGAGCTAGGATAAACCCATATAACCTGTATAGGTAGCCACCGTTCTCTTTTTTCCTGGATTTATGGATCTGCTCTCGATAGTGGATGGACTTCTTCAAATGCTGAATTGTAAACTCAAAAACCTCAGTTCCCCAATCATAGTCATCATACTCTGCACTATCAATCATGTCAATGTAGCAACTGTCTACCCGAAGAGTGTCCTGCGAATCCATGAGAATATTTGCAAGTAAGTATAACTTTGCAAATCTGACAGCATCCTCATCAGTTTTCCAACATTTTTGAAGAAAATTGCCATCGGATGAAGTTTCTGTTTAACCCAACACCAGAAAAGTACTTGTCGTACATGCCATTGGATACTTTAGGAATATTCAACTTCTTGCAAGGCCCTGTACATTTCATTCATGTTATCAGGGCAAACTCTTATATGCCAAATCGAAGCAATTTCCCACCAAAGTCAAGCCAAAGCTCATTGCTCCTTGTCTGATGCACCTCCCCTAGAAGAATCTGATTGACAAGCTGATTTTGAACCTTGCAGTGGGGTAGATCCAAGAACTTTCCAAATGTACAAGCCCTAAACAAACCTAACTGCTCCATGGTCAGCATTATCTTGATTTCAGCAATGGTAGAACCGTCTTTGCTGTTGCCATTACTGTTTAGAACTTTGACATTTAAATCTCTGGGATTTGGTATGAG